TTCTATTGCGCGCTTAGAGCTTTGCGCGATATCAGTCCTTGACAAGCTAAGCTAAGCTAAGATAGAGTTCACACAGAAAGAATATTTGCCTTTTCTGACTCAACCGTCGCTTTATGTTGGGTTCATTCTTCACCCCACCGTTGGGATACGTTTATCGTAAACCAAGTGGCCTAGATCCAAGACGAGTTAGGATCATGGAGCTTTTATCACGTGTCCAGTACGGAAAACCCTGCCGACTGTATCCCGTGGACTCACCCCGATGCAAATAATGGACCACCCGCTTTGGTTCCACGAACCTTCTTGGGTTCACTTGGAACCCTCGCAGTGGCCAATAATCGATTTAGCCCCTTCGTTAGTGTCCCAACCACTGGGAGAGAAGAGGCACGCTCTGGTTGAGAACGTTTCGAGCGAGGTTTCTCCAATCATTGCTTTGGCGAACCGATTATCCTCTTGGTCGAAATTATTGCATAGCGTGATTTACGTTTGTCGATTCACGAAGCTTCTACCGCGACGTTTGTGTATCGTAGCATCCGATTACAGCTATGCTGAGTTGCTAGTATTGAGTGAACTTCAACGTGCGCATTTTTCCGATGAAATTACAAGATTACAATCGAATAGAACTTGTAGTCGCGCTTTTCAACGTCTTAAGCCATTTTTATAAGATGGAATCGTTAAGGTAGGTAAGAGCTTGTTTAACTCGCAGTTGAGTTTTGATCAACGGCACCCTATAGTTTTACCGTGCAAGGACCATATCATGATTTTATTGGTTGATTACCACCATAAATTGAATTCTCACTCTGGCCCCGACTTGTTGATATCAATCTTGCATCAGAATTATTGGATTCTTTCTGCACGTAATTTAATCCGCAATCGGGTGTACAGATTATGCTTGTTTCGAGTACGTTCTAAGCCGTCATTTCCGGAAATGGCGGACCTTAGGTATTGTCGAGTAACACAATCCGTAAAGCCCTTTATACACACCGGGTCTGACTCTGCTGGTCCGTTTAAGGTCACGCTCACTCGCGGACGTGGTATAAGATCCACAAAAGCTTACGTCTGCATTTTCGTATGTTTGACTACTCGGGCTGTGCATATAGAACTCGATGGTGATCTAATCACAGCGGGCTTCATGTCATTTAAAAGATTTCTTTCCCGCCGTGGCCCTGTAAGTAAATTGTATTCGGATAAAGGAACAAACTAAGTCGGCGCGAAACGTATTTTATCAGAACTACATCAGCTTTTAACCAGTAAATATTATAATTCGGAGTTCGCTCACATCCTATCCGAGAACCGCATCAAGTGGTCTCTGAACGTCCTCGCCGCGAGCCATTTTGGGGTAAATTGGGAGACTAATATTAAGAGTCTAAAGAATCATTTACACCGAGTAATAGGCGATCAAATTTTGTCTTTCGAAGAGTTAAGTACTGTGCATGCTCAAATTGAGTGCGTCATGAATAGTCGCTCCCTTTGTCGTACGTTGTCAAGTGACCCTCGGAGCCCCTGGATCTAACTCCAGTAAATTTTTTTTAATTTAACGCCTTTGAAATATCTGCCCGCCATAGACATGGACGAGAACATACTTAGTATTTCTGCACGCCATAAATTATTGGACCGGTTGGTGCAGTCGTTTTGGAAACGATGAAAGATGGAATACTTGCATACGTTGCAGTCTCGGCAAAAATGGAACACAACAACTGAACCTTTAACTATCAGAACTGTGGTTCTACTCACAAAGGAGAATACGCTGCCTCTCCATTGGCCGTTAGGGATCGTCGAAGAAGTTTTTACCGGTTTCGACGGGGTAACTAGGGTAGCTCGCGTTAGGACCACGACTGGGTCTTACATGGGCCCTGTTGTCCGTTTGTGCCATTTACCTAATTAATAGTTTGAATTAGCTTTCTAGAATAGAAATTGTAGTCAAAAATTAGGTTTAATCTTAGCGATAGTTATTTTGAAGGGAACCCTTCAAGCCGGTGGGGGGGGATGGTTACGCGGAAATGATTTGTGTATTTTAATTTTGAATGAGGGTATATTTTCCAAGTTTTTATCCTTCCTTTGACTTCATGTCCCTTCCGTATACACTGAAAGGGGAAAGCGGAGAAGGGGTCTAGAAAGTGACGCGATTCTTTGGACCAATGAGACGCGCGCCCGACCGAGGTACATCGGTGGGAAAGCCGAAGCAATAAAGGCTCGCGCGCTGCCCTCGAGTGGCGTCTTGCCTTCGCGCCGCTAGTCTGAACCGAACCACCTGGGGCAGTCGCGTTCCAGAAGTAACCACTTTAGAACATTGGATAATAAATAAAAAGATTGATTATAACACCATGTTTATTGTGAAAAGTACAATGTCCAAAATCGAGCGGCTCGCCGCTCATTAGCGGTCAGCCGCCGTAGAGTCTATATCACCTGAGGATGCCTCGTGTAGAGGCGAAACGCGTGTCGTATTATCGTCGATGGGTTGTCTTACCTGGAATAATGGTGTTGGAAGTAGTGGTGCCGGGAGTAGTGGTGTTTGGATTAGTGGTGCTGGGACTAGTGGTGACGGAGTTAGTGCATGCAATTGAGGGAGGGCGGGAGATGCTCTTCAATCCAGGTAATACACATCATTGTATTTAGCTAGCGGAAGGTTGCGAAGTGATTGACTTTAACTTGATTAAAAGTCTATTTTAAGGTACGATGTAGCCGCAGAAGAAATAATCATGAAAACATCCATTTATATTCTGAAGAGTTATATTATATAATTAGGAATGTTAATATAAACATCAAAAAAAGTTTGCGATCATTTTGAAAAATATAAATCTTTTTTATTATGGTAGACTATTGTACAAAATCTCTTTCTTTTTATATTCTTTACTAAAAATATAGAACTAGAACTTTTCCATATAAAATAAACTCAATCTTAACTTACGCATATTCAGAAAAATCTTACTTAGTCAATTCTAACAAATTCCAAATACTTTAACGAGGAAAGTCGTGATTGAAAAAATACCAAGAGGATTATTAGAAGTTTTAAGAGCAGGGCTTGTAACTTTGAGGGAATAAGGATATTCAACGAGAAAAATTGCACGCAGAATTGCTGTATCCCAATCCTGAGTCGTGGGCACGTTGCAGAAATACCACATTATTAATTTAGCTGACCAAACTCGCAGTGGTTGCTCAACTTACACTATTCGGCATATTGTTGTGAGTAACGTGAACAATTTGTAAAGCAATGAACCTTTTTTTTATGTTGTTACAAAGCGGCACACGTTCGGCAAGTAATGGTAGATCAAGTGCCACATATGTCAGCACCAGCTGTTAGAGGCAAGTGCCGTGACTTTTAGGTGTAATGGGAGTCTTTATTTATATTTGGTGTTTTAAAATAAGGCTTAAAATGTATCGTAATTCGAATCAAAACAATGAAGAAAGTTATGAATGGAATTTTGCATTTTACGTGATTGAAAATTAAAACAAAAATACAATTTAAATTTAAATCATGTGGGAATCTGAGTGAACTCAATGTACAAAAATGATCGATCAGCAAAAAAAACTGAAAACTTTTAGAAAATCGCTATTAGAATGCGCGCTCGGTATTACATACAAAATCGACTTACTTACCGACAATGTCCGTTGACTGAAAGTATGATGCTTTTGTTTAACCAGCAATAACAATTATACAATGAAGTCACTGTCTTCTGTAACTTTACAGTTCATAACATGTTTTCAGTAAGGTAATATTGAAAATTTAATAGGCACAATAAAATTATGGGTAAAGGTATTGTATTTACAAGTAGTCTAACACCAAAAGCTTAGTCAGAGCAATTTGTGACCAACGGGTTGTTATAATGATGCGACTACTTTCAGGCTGTGTATCTAGGTATGAAAACAAATTCAAAACAAGTTTATATCGGCAAAGAAAGCAACACGCACAGGTTCGTGGATTCCGGCCCGCGTTCCGTCGCGCTCTTGCAACCACAGATGACTAACAATATGCTGCGTGCCGAATCAACTATTCTCTGATGTGCGCAAAATTTAAAATGGTGTACAATAAATTTGGTACTTCAGATGGCCCAATCACAAAGGTCCGGAAGGAAGCATGCTCAGGTTGAGTTTAGACAGTTTATACAAAATTTTAATCCAATCGCTTTCGAAAGTTACAACAATTTACCTATAGCAAACCCCTAAAAAAATATGTTCACGCTATTTGTTTACTTAATGATGATAATGATGATATTTTTTTCACTTCGGATGCACACATTGCATACTGCAAATTAGGATAACTTTCAGTAAAAACGCCAAACGGAATTTTTGTGCTATACAACAACTTACGTTGGAAGTATCGTTTTATTGATAAAATTAAATTTAATTAAATAAATTAAAAATTAAATTAAACATATAACTTTTAAAATAAATCTGTCGGTAAGATACGCACGCTACCTAATGTAAGTTAATTGTTTTGAGCCCATAACCTTTGCGCAAGTCCACGCATAAAAGTTAAAAAAGATTTACCGCAATCTGATGAACAGTATGGCAGCGCATAAAATACGAAGCACACAAACATTTTTTTATATATATGAGATTTTAAATTAAGATTTAAACGTTTAAATAATCCCTTATTTAAGAGGATAGTAATAGGTGACCCCTTACATATATATATATATATATATATATATATATATATTTATATATATATATATATATACGGGCGTGTTCTGTTAGCGATTTTGTAAAAGCTTTCAGTTCTTTTTTGCTGACCGATCATTTTTTTTACATTGAGTTCACTCAGACTCCCATATGATTTGAATTTAACATGTTGAATGCCGGAATCCCCGCGCGGAGTTGTCGGGAATTCCTTTACAGTGCCGCCGACTCCGCGCGGGGGTGACTAGCCGTTATGCTCTTATGTCTCAGTACGCCGCCGGCATCGTAGGTTGGTGGTTGTTTCGCAGTCGGCGTAAGCCTATAGCCTAGCGTACGTCGTAAAATAATTTTGGTTTTGGAATTGCTTTGTTTTTATGAGAACCATGGACGCTGAAACTCCGCGTTCATTATTTGGCAAACAGCGACTTAAACGTCGTCTTGCGTTTGTTTCCTCACCCGAAACATCTGAAAGTGAAGAATCTGCGACGGTTACCTTGGCACGTACTAATACATTACGAATCGAAACATTGGAAAATGAAGAATCCGCGACTACTACCTTGCCACGTACTTGTACATTACAAAAGAAAAACACTACGATTCGGGATTATGAGATTACGGAGGTTCTTGAACAAATTGACTCCGACTTTAGTGCCTCGTCTTCCGATAATTATCAACCAGATTCAACTGGTTGGTAGTGTTCAGACTCTGAAAATACAGCCTTTGAAGATAGTCAAGTCGAGTGCTCTGCCACAGAAGACGAGCAGCCTCAATCGTCAGCGTTACTACAAGTTGAGCAGGATTTGGCATCACTAAATGTTCCTGGACCGTCTCAAGGGCAAAGGGCACGAGAAAGACCATCTGTACCTTGGTCAAATACAAATGAAGGTATGAAGATCTTCGATTTCACGGAAAAAGTTGGTTTGAAAGTGACGGTATCCAGTGAGTCAAAAGCTATAGATTTTTAAGTCTTTTCCTCGATGATGAATTCCTGACATATATTGTTCGGGAAACTAATAAGCACGCTGCTGATGTTTTGATGAAGCCAGGAGTTGGGCTGAAATCAAGAATAACGGACTGTAAAGACACAAGTGTCGCCGAGATGAAATTATTTTTTGGCGTAATTTTGCATATGGGTATTATTCGTCTCAATCGTTTGAAGGACTACTGGAAAAAGGATCGATTATTCAACATTCCAATTTTCAGACAGTATATGTCGCGAAACAGGTTTTTGTTGCTGTTTAGCTTGCATTTTTCCAGCTCATCATTAGGGGGGATTGAGCAAAGTCGACGAATTGATAAAACGATTTAATGATAAGATGAATGATCTGATATGCGCTCAGAAGGAATTATCACTCGACGAAAGTATGATTCTCTACAGAGGTCGTTTATTATTTAGGCAATATATAAAAAACAAGAAGCACAAATATGGGATGAAGCTGTACATGCTCACAGAGCCCGATGGCCTCGTTCTGAGACTGCATCTGTATGGAGGCTCCGCCGATATAACATGTGGAAAAGGACACACAGTAAAGGTGGTGCTGCACCTATTGAAAGATTTTGTAGAGAAAGGGCATTCAGTTTATATGGACAACTTCTACAATGGGTATAATTTAGCCGCGAAGTTGCTTACTCACAAGACTTACTGAACGGGAACTCTAAGAAAAAAACGCGAATTCAATCCTGAGATTGTGAGTAGTAAAATGAAAAAGGGAGAGAATAAATCTGTTTTTCATAACGAAATTCACATTGGATGCCATAGGGATAAACGATATATTCCATACATATCGACAGAACATGATGATGAAATGGTTACGGTGACCAACAAAAGGGGAATCTCAAAAGAGAAACCAAAAGCTTTAGCTTTTTATAATCGGTTCATGTCTGGCATTGACAGGCAAGATCAAATGTTGTCGTACTACCCGTGCGAAAGAAAAACGCTGCGCTGGTATAGGAAGTTCTTTATACATATATTTCAAATACAGATTTTGAATGCTTACATCTTATATAACAGATTTTCCGGGAAACGCTTGAATATGTACGAGTTCAGGATGTCCCTCATAAATGAATTATTACCGCCAAAAGATTGTTCAGTTTCAACTAGCTCACTAATTCCCACTCGTTCGGTACGAGTTCACAAACTTACTAAAATAGAAAACAAAACCGAAGAAACTAAAAAAAGATGCGCCTGGACGTATTAGAAAAACCACTAGAGTAAAACGAAAGGTTTGTCGCCAATGTACCGCTGCAAGAAAAATACGTAAGCAGACACGCTACCACTGTGTTTCATGCCAAGAGCAGCCTGGGCTTTGTGATCAGGAGTGTTTCGATGCATATCATGCACATTATGCACATTAAATGTATGATTTTTTTTTTGTAATTTTTGATTTGTTTTAATTTTCTGTTTATTGTTTTTCTAAAATGATACTAATGGACACTAAAACCGACGTTTTTTAGTAATTGTTGATTTTCTCAATTTTATTATAATTGCTTAGAACGTCAATGTTCATGAAAAACTTATTTTTTTACAATAAAAGCATTCTGTAAGAATCTGGACTTGTGTTTTATTTCACTAAATAAAACTGAATTTAAAATGTATTGTTTAGTTCCGAGCGAGTTGTATGGCATCATACACTGAAAAAGTCAGTTCGCTCTGCCGACGACTCCGCGGGGAGTCGACTCCGCGCGGAGTTTCATGGCGTCATGCTCAGGAAAAACCGATGCGCTCTGCCGACGACTCCGCGTGGGTACTTATATATATAATATATGCTATGTATCAATGTATTTACTGTCCTTATATGTATAGGCACATATTTAAATAAAAATCAGCAATTGGCATCGCGGATAATATTTTGTTTGTATGAAGCTAAATTCCGGCAATGAACCTGTTAAATTGTATTTTTGATTTAATTTACAATCACATCAAATGAAAATACCATTCATAACTTCCTTCTAATAAATTAAATCTAATAATAAAATTGTTTTGATTCGAATTACGATACATTTTTAGGCTAACTTTAAAATACCAAATATAAATAAAGACACCCATTACACCTAAGCGTCACAGCACTTGCCTCTAACAGCTGGTGCTGACATATGTGGCACTTGATCTCCTATTACTTGATATTTTTTGAGTGCTTGATGAACGTGTGCCGCTTTGTAACTATTTAAAAAAAAGTTTCATTGCTTTACAGATTGCTCACGTTACTCACAACAATATACCGAATAAATAACATGCAATACTTTAGAAGTTTTTTTTATAAATATTCAATAAGGTATTCATGTGTCCGTCGTTATTTAAAAATAAAATAATTGTAAAAAAAATGGCGCATTTAAACTTAAATACACCATTTTTTTACAACAGTTGTCATCATTTCCATAGTCTGAAGGATCTTCACAACAAAAACCATGAGATATAATAATTCAATGAGAAATTATCGTACACTTTAATTCCGATTGAGAACGTCTTACAGAATGGATTTTTAACCATTCAATTTCTTTAAACAGTGGGTAGTAAACAAATAAAGATTAATTATGACATAAGTTTCTGTTTATAGTGAAAAATTGTCTATTATCTACCTACAGGAAATGAATTGTGTTAGTGGATTTTTTCCTCGTTTACTGGTCAGCTTCGTGGTATGCAACAAAATAATTTATATATGATTTGATACAGTTGCGACGCTTAGCAGGCGGGTTGGCAAACGAGGTATTTTTATAGTAGTTATTAGAAATACGCTGCTGCCCATCTCATGGTTTATTTTCCTCTGTCCTGTTCTTTACTTCAGGGGTCTTACGACACTGTAAAGATCATCATATGATCAAAATACGTCACACAACTCAGACTTACTGATTTATTCACTCCATTTTTAATTTTTTTAATTCTCCTGAATTAAGAATAATAAGGATTGGTGTGTAAATTACGAATTAATATCATTGTATTCTAATAGACAATCCTTGCTATCGGTACAAAAAAAAACTCGACACTTACGAGTAAAATAAGTTGTTCAATTGAAACTAATTTATTTAAATTGTATGCTTGTTATAATAAAACAAATGAATTTCTTTCTTATATTAAATTCTATTACAAAACAAAATTTTAAGCAAATCCTTTATAATATTTAAGTCATTTTATACGTCTACTTTAAATTAGGTAAATATTGTGGCCTATAGATGCTTACATCTGTTCTATATTCGTTTAAAATTCAAAACACAGAAGCTTTGTAGCCTCTGAGGACTCAAATGGAAAATCTAATACGAAATTAAACAGCACTATGATGCTTTTTTACTTAGATTATAATATTGTGGTTAGGACGAGTAAATGTCTCGATGTTCGTTGTCGAAATCTATATCACTGTACAGGAACAAGCATTGACAGCATACTTTTATTATTATCATCAATATGTAGAAGGCATTTGATGGCTCGTGAAGAACTATGGGCCGCTGGTTTGAATCCCGCATGAAACAAGTATTGGTATAACCTACGAGTAATTGTTCTGGGTGTGGATGTTTCTCCTTGAGGAATTTGTGATTGTTAATTGCCTCTACAATGCAGTAGAAAATACTAGGTTAGGGGTAACTTTTTCTCTTTGGCTGACGAGTAACGTTTAATATCAAGAGAAGAGGAAGAAAGGTTCTCCAGTAGCAATCACGTACCGGTAAGTGGAGTGTAGAAACCCCCCCTCCCCCCTCCATCCACTAGATGCAGTCAGGCGACCTGTTGAGTGATACAAGAAGTCGAGGTCGAGGTCGGGGAATACAGGTCCGTGTCCATGACCGTTTTTTGTGTTGTTCCTTAAGCGTAAGCTTTATGGGTAAGCGTATTCAGCAGTGATTTTGTAAAGGATTGTAATGATGATGATGATGAAATTTCAAAGTCATACATTTGAAGTATACTGATATAATGTATGCAGTTATTTTATTCTTTTTAACTTACCGATTATGAAAAATATTCCATTCTATATATTAAATAAAACACAATACATACTCTGGTTTTATCGTAGAAGGATAGGGTTGCTTTTAATCTGCAATAGAAACCCTACGGATTTACTTTGAGCAAAAATAATATAAAAACAAAATAATTTGTTTAAACACAATAATAAATAAACACACAGACGGAATACAGGTTTCTTCGAGAATCATTATCATTTGGCATCGTCATCATCTCCTTATTTCCTTATCACAGGGCTTATTTTAAAAAATCAGAGTGACAAACCTCATACATTTAATGGTAAATGGTTATTGCAGCCCGTGAACTTCGCACCTAACTTCTATAGAATGGCACACAGCTTCTGTCTGTCTCTGTGTGTCATGTGTCTATGCCAAGTATCATTTCAGGTGGATTGCTAGGCTTATTTCTTAGTTACCTGTCTATATAACATTACTCACTCGTCCTTATAAACGTTATTTTCAAAGTCATATTATTAATTTGAATGGATATAACAAATACCAAAGAAAAGATGGATGGACTGTATTAGGAATGATATGTGAATAAATGTAATGAGTGAAAAGACGACAGCTAATATAGGAGAATGGAAGAGCAAGACATGCTATGACGACCAAAATTAACTTGGGATAAGGGTAGGAAGATGATAAAAAATAATACCTAAACGATATTGCATACAACGACATCTGGCTAATATAAAATGATACATTTATCTTACGTCCTATTAAGAGATATACATTTATTTTTCGAAAATGACCGCGCCTGGATCTACTAAGATCGGGCCGTTATCACAGACAGGACTATTATAAGCGGATAAGATTGATATTGTGATTAGGATATTTTTTTTGCTTTTTTTGCTAAGGATATTGTATTAAGGACATTTTTGGTTCAATATTACCATTCCGTATGAGGTCGTGAAAGTAAAAACAGATAAGCGAACGAAATAACTGGACCTGGCCCACGAGAAGACCAACATGTGGGGTGGTCTACCGGTTGAAATTATACTTACTACAGGTATAATTTCAATTGGTTCTGCAAACGGGCTAATTTCGGCGAGCCGGACTGCTCCGGGCAGCGTTGTTGGCATGCATCGTCATCCCCTTTCTCCCTACCCCGGTCGTTTGGTCTTCCCTGCCGAGGGCTATTATTTTGATATTACGGATACGTTTTTATTATTTTTCTTTCTTATTACTAACTAAGGTCTTGTTCTTCAAGGAAGGCGACAACGCTCTTTTAAAGTATAACAGACCGATTTCCCTTCTGAACCTCGTCTTTTTGAATCTTCTCGCCTGCAGACTCAACAAATTGCAACCTTTTAAACAAGCCGGTTTCCGAAAAGACTTTAGTACCACACACCACATACATACCCTTCGGAAGAGTGAACACAAGATGCAATGCAATGCAATGCAATCTGCCAGTTTGCCTTGCGTATGTAGACTATGAGAAATCCTTCGATTCCGTCGAAATTTGTGCGGTGCTAGAGCCCCTTCAGCGGTACCAAGTTGACTGTCGGTATATCAAAGTGCTGAAGTGTTTGTACTGTAGAGCTACGATGGCTATCCGAGTATAGAACCAGAGTACAAAACCCATTGAACTGTAGAGAGGTGTAGACAAGGTGACGTTATATCCTTGAAACTTTTCACCGCTGCATTGGAAGACGTTTTAAAGCTAATAGACTGGAAAGTATGCGGTATTAATATTAATGGC